CCTTTATCTCAGCTATCTCTTTTTATGACTTTTGGTCAAGTCAGTTCAGCAGAACTTCCTGGATTATGTACAGCTGCAGCTGGTCAATGTGTACTATGACTTCTGTGTGCCCCTCGACTGCTGAAACTCATACATCAATGGATTGATGATCCAGAGCATAAGATGAACTCCTATTTAACCAGAGCCTTCCATGCTGTTGGCAGGTATCAAAGTCACACCCATTAAACACATACATTCCTTTAATTTCTTAATGCAGCACCTCTTTTGTCATATAGCAGACTTTCTTAGTTGTTGAGTTGTAAACTCATGCACATCAACTAACACAGATCTTAACTACTCCACATATTCTCGTGGACATTGTGGGTATGCTACAGGTGTAGAATTGTACATCACATCTATAAGGAGCAAAACTTCTTGACCAAACATGAGCATATTCAGTGAACAACCTGTCAATCCCAGTTCAGTTGCATGATATACCATCATGATGTATGGTGTTTGTCCCAGTCATTGTGGTTGGGATTAACAAATTTGGTAATCATATGCTTGACAAGCTGTACTATGGTACTACTCTACTGTATCATTCATGACATTAAACCATCAGATTGAGGTTGATAAAGTGAAGTATGCTTCTTCACAACACTCAGCACTTTACACAACTTAGAGAACAGTTAACTGTTAAAGTTAGCTCCCTGATCCATGGGTATCATTTTTAGGTGCTCCAACAGCACATCAGCCATGGTCTGTGCAGTTGCATCAACCAATTAATAAGCCTTGGACCAGCAATAACCAGGGATATTCTCTTCAGAGGAAGCCCAACAATTCTTTGCTGGGGATTACCCTACTTAACCTTATTTTTTCTCTGGCTCGCTTATACCATTCTGTATTAATACAAGTGCTGAACATCTCAACTTGAATGCAGCGTCAAGAACCACCTTCAAAAGTTAGCACAAGTATGTAAAACCTTGGTGTCTGAGAACCATTAGCTGCAACACAGACTGATAACCACTGTTCAGTGGTTTGATATCAATCTACAGTACAAAATCGATTCTCCTAACTGCTTGTACAAGTGTCATAAGTTATGTGTGTCTGTGCACTATATTCCCCAATTTGAACTGGTCATGCTTTACTTTGCTGCATGGCAAGGAGCACCCATGCTAGATCTGGGTTCTTCATATGCTTTTCCTGGAACTTCCAAAGTGTTAATCATGGCATTCATCCACTAGTGGAATCTCCTACTGTATGGTTTGTCATCACTGTGGTAGAAATGGTCTCAACTCCCACACTGGTTCAGGATTAGGAAATTCAATGAACATACAAAGCTTTTCTAATGGCGAGACAATCCTACATTGTTTCCATATTGCGGGCTCAGACAAAACTGTACGATTAAAAAATCATGCTCCTACAGTTCTGTCAGGCAGTATGCTACCATCCCTTTGTGGTTCTTAAAGTTCCTAAACTATTTCATTGATGCTTAGTCCACTCGAAAAGTGAATGTTCTACCATACAAGTAGTGCAAAAAGTACCACATCTGCAAGCAGTTCATTCTACACCTTTCTTTCGAAAACGAGAAAAGTTAAAGTGTTACGCGAGCGAATCTCGGTATTGAAATTTAAAATAATAAAAAAACGGCAATTTTGAAAAAAAAAAAAATAAGGGAGTAACAGGCACAGAACATTGTCATGTACTACAATATTCAAGTCATACTGATTTCCCTTAGAGCAATAGGATAGGTCTGCAGAATAAAAGGAGATTCAACAAGGTATATATTTTGAAGTAAGACTGTTTCTTTGAATATCAGAGTTCGTAATATTGAAATAAAGGGACTGAACACAATGTAAAAGACAGAAGCACGATTTTATTATAACGCCTACTAATATCATGTTAGATAATTATGCGTTTTCTACTACTTACTTACAATGTACAAATATAACTTTTTCCACAACTTATTGCCCAAATTACAAAAGTATTCGTATATAAGAAATAAAAGCATTGCAATTTCGTTTGTCATAGTTTAGAAAGGGCGTTTGCGTTTCCAATTTACGACCAATTTCGTACTTCATTTCCACAAATCATTTCGTTTAGATTTTTGCGACGTTATATGCGCATCTGTGATAGCGAAGTATTGATCCAAATTTTTAGATGTTTTTCGAATCATGTTATATAGCGTGATATAGTGTAATATTGTATATTGAGATTTATTTTAAAAAGTTCAAGCCTTGGAATTGTTCTGAGATTCCGTGTTATAAGTTGTTTAAAAGTGACAGCCTTTTTAAAAGAGACGCTAAAGTGTTTTTCGACAAAATACATCCGTAACATAAATATAAACTTACGCACTGCCACTAGTTGTAAGTTGTACTCACAACTTCAGTCATTTATATCCAACTTTTGTGAAATTATTATGTTCATTATATTCTGAGTGATACCAACGACTTTGGAGAATAGCAAATATTGTAAAAATAAAATGCTATCTTTACTTATTAGCAATTTGATCCTATATCATAATTAATTCAGCTTGTAGCTTTGTATATATATATATATATATATATATATA